GTGCACCTATGGATGAGGACAGTGGGTGGGGAGTGAGGGAGGAGGGTGGGGCGGGAACTGGGAGGAGGGGAGTTATGGGGGGGGAAAAAAAGAGGAACAAATGTAATCTGAACAATAAAGATTTAATCAAAACAAAAAAAAAGAAACAAATGGGGCAGAGTGAGAAAGACAGTAGTGTATGTAGGTCATGAGAGAAAAGAGAAAGCAAAAGGAAAGAGAAGCCAGATCATGTAGGGCCTTACTATAGGCCATTTAAGGATCATCTTCTATTCTGAGATGGGCAGCCACTGGGGAGTTCTGGGCAAAGGATGATCGATCTGATTTATGTTTTAAAAGGCTCACCCTGGCTATGTAGAGGTATAGAGAGTAAGTAAGGTAAGATGATCAGTTGTGAAACTTGCAAATTCCAGGTAAGATACAATAGGATTTTGAACCAATGTAGTATTAGTAAAAGATGAGAAATGAAGATATTCTAGACACTTTTAAAAGTAAAGCCAATTGTATTTTTTCAGCAAAATAGATGTGAGGTAAGAGGAAAACAAGAGTCAAAGATGACAAAGTTTTTTAGGCTGAATAACAGGAAGGATGGATATCACATTTATTGAGATGATAAGATTTGGGAAGAGTAGGTTGGGGCTAGGGTTGGTTTTGCACACATTTGAGGTGCCTATTGTATGATCCAAGGATCCAAATGGAGCTGTCAAGTAGGCTGCTGAATATGTGAACCTGCAACATAGCTGAGAGGTCAAGACAGAAGATAAAAAGTATGAGCCATGGCATTTAATGTTAAAAGACTTGAAGAGTGTAAGGGACTGGGTACAAACTCAGATCAAATACTAAGTCCTGGAGCACTCTAATTTTGAGACACAGGATAAGGAAGAACCAGAATACTGAGGAGTGGCCAATGAGCTAGGTGAAAATCCAGGACAGAGTGGTCTTCTCCAGGCTGAGTGAGAATAAAATTATTGCTAGAAATAAAGAATGATCAGTTAAGTGTAAAGGACTAAAAATTGAGTGAAAAGTGAACAAGAGAAGAACTAGAGACAGAGAGCATTCATTCAACAAACACTAGCATGCTACCCTGGCTAGGCACTGTTCCAACCACCAAGAATACAACAGTGAACCTGACATCCCAAATTCTCATCCTAATGGAGGATGGGACAAACAAACTCTAAAGAAATATTTCTATAAATGAGACAGGCACTGCAAAGAGCTTTGTAGTTGAAATATATTTAAGATGGAAAAATTATATTTGCTTATGTGTTTGACCCAGTAGAGAAAAGAAAACCGAGAAGAAAAAAAAAAAGAGTAAGGTATACTACACAAATAGGGGTTCATCTTGCATATAAGTAGAAACGTGAGTCATGTAGCAGGATCTGGGTGACAGAGTATATGGCACATGGAAGCATATGGAAATTCTCTTCTGGTTGCTTTCATATTTTTAGGGAAATAGAATACAAAGCCATTAACTGAGGTGGAGGTTGTGAAGCATTAAAGAGAGAAGCAGAGATGTAAAATAGATTTCTAAGAAGGTTGTAGAAGAAGCAAGCAGGGAAATGTAGAGGTAGTATCAGGCAATGTAAGAGGTTAGACCTGTCAGCAAAGGCATACTGCCAATTCATAATAACCAGGTTTTAGACTTTAATTTTAAAAAATCAAACGCTGCTAAACAAATTAAGTTTGTTAAAAACAACTTCTGAATTTTTTCCAAAGCTTTGAACAGATCACTTTGGGTAGTTTTCTCCGACTAATAAGATGCCACAAAAATGCTTGAATGGTTAGGTCAGTAGATGAGAGGTTTCTAATCTGGTCTCCTCTACTATGCTTTCTCCCACTGCCTCACCATTGGCCTTTCTTTCCCTCTTAAATTTTTTCACCTATAACATGGAAAGGATAGCCCTGGCCTGATAGCTCAGTGGGTTAGAGCATCATCCCAATATGCCAATGTTGTGTGTTTGATGCCCAGTCAGGGCACACACAGGAAACAACCAATGAATGTATAAATAAATGGAACAAATCAATGTCTCTTTCTCTTTCTCCCTCTCCCCCCCCCCTTTTCTCCCTTTCTCTCTCTTTAAAAGCAATAAATAAAAATATGTATTTTTAAAAAATGGAAATGATATCTAGCCCACCTACCTCACTGGACTAATGCCAGCATTATTCCACTACAAATGTGCAAAAAGGCTTTAAAAAGCACTGTTATCAGGATTTTGTCTAATAACAGACTTGGGAAAGCTTTTGTTTTTTTTAAACCTGAAAATCCATTCTTAAGGATCCAAACCCCTCCTTTGTATTTAAATGTCTGAATTAGTTTTCAATCTAATTCTAAGGAATCAGTTAAGCAATATCTAATGGCCAACTGCACTTTATCAGTACTGGGGAGATGTCTGCTTTTAAATCACTTTTTGAAATAATCTAGTCTAGCCTGATCCAATCCTAATTTTAAACACTCTCCAATGAACAAGGTTAAAATTATCCAGGATTGCTTCAGGCACAGTCTAGATCAGTTTGCACACCACTCTGACCTGGAGTAACCCCAGTTCTATAGTTTCTTTGGGGATATTCACATTTCCTTTTAGCCAGCATGTAAATGACTTTACATATACTTAATCCAAATAGTTCCAAGACCTATTTCTTCGATTTTGGAGGGGAAAAAATTACTCACTATTTCTAGGTGTAAAAAGGGCCCAATAAGATGATGTTAAAATATTCAATGTCCCAATAATCCAGATTCCAGGGCTGAAATACTCAAGGAGAGTTTGTAAATAAAGCTACAAGAGAAATCCACCTCCCACCATGACAGGAGAGCCCTTCTCAACAAGCAGCTTCCCCAGCGCTTCTCATCATTACCTGGTCACAGGTCTTCCTGAACTGTCCATTCTCAGTTAGCACCCCTAGCACTGTTCTTTGTGGGGGGTCCTGGCCAAGCTGAGCTCTTGTCGTCTGACGGACATCAGGACCTCGGGACACTGGAGCCAGGACTACTCTGCCCTTGGAGCTGCTGAGATGCATCACCTCAGTGTCCACAGGCTGCTGCCTCAGGAGGGAGAAATAGACAAGCCAGTTAGTCAACCTCTTCCACCAGGGGCTCCAAGGATGCAGGGAATCTCTAAGAGGCAGCACTGAAACAATGACCTTCCCAGCAATGATTAGGGCTGAAAGGGCGCTAGCCACGGGCAGAAGCTATCAAAGCTGCTTTGAACCAAAACAGCGACTTGAATCCGTTGAGGCTTTCTTCCAAGACCTGGGAGGAGAGAGCAGCCTGACAGACCTCCAAGCCAGGAGACTAAGGCTCCACGTTTCTTGGGGGTCTAAACAAGGGCGGGTCTTTCTCCGCTGAGGCTCATCCCCTGCCGCTCCGGCCGGCAAAGGCCGAGGATACAGCACTGCGGGAAAGAACATGGCCGTCCCCGTGACCGGCAGGGCGCTCCTCGGCCCCGCAGCGGGCCTCGCTCTTCCCGGCCTTGGGCACGTGTGTCCCCGACACCTAGC